TTTTTTTTTTTTTTTTTGGATTTTTTGTAAGCTTAACGCCGGTTTGATAATTTCGTCTTCAATTTTCTATTTTTCTTTTTCATTTTTTTAAAACTGATAACATGTTTAATAATAGTTTTTTAGTTTTTTGTTTGAGGAAAAATTTAAATAAGTTTTCAAAATGTATTCTTTTTTCTTCTTTTTTTTCCCTCCTTTCTCATTCATCAATTATACATCACTAGAAATGCGTTGCATTTAAATTCCAAAATTCGGTATATGGAACCACCAGCGTTGCATTTAAATTCCAAAATTCGGTATATGGAACCACCAAACTTGGACTTGACAGCTCGACTCTTGCATTCGGCCACCACCCAATCATAGCGCACCTCCACCCCAAAGGGCAAGGGCAAGGCAAAGGCAAGGTAAGGTTTGACACTATTCAGTCTTGCCTTTTTTGGTTCCACCCCAAATGGCAAGGGCACGGGCAAGGGCAATTACTATTCATTTTAATTTATTTTATATTTTTTTATACTTAAACCATTAATTTTGGCATGAGAAGTGAAAAATAGGACCATGTATTTATATATATATAAAATTCTGAAAATGTTGGTATTTTGTTCGATTTAAAAAAAATATATATATATTTGGTTGCTGACATCATCAATGATATCAGCAAACCCAAGCAAGATTTGCCTTTGGGCCTGCCCAGGCTTGTGGCCTCCATCAACTGCCTGGTCTTGCCTTTGTGCGCTATAGCCAAAAGCTGGGCCTAGGCCCCCTCATGCCTGGGCAAACCAGGCGGCGCTGGAGGTGCTCTAAGGACCCTCGAACTAGCCTTGAGACCTTTAAACCAAAAACTCACAAAAATTATTCTAACTTTGAATAATTCATAACAAAATATTACCAACTTCTTCTAATATGTACTTTCATTCTATGGCCTCAAATTCATAATTTGACTCAAAGAAAAATTTCATTTTCAAGTTCAATCTTAACTTAACTAAGTCAAAATTGAAATTATGATCTCAAACTAGCCACCCAACTAGTACCGGATTGGCACCGCCCGTTGTACACCTCTACTTTCTTGTTCCTTCTTCCCACTTTCGTTTTTGCCTCTTCTCTCCCTGAATTCAAAGCTGGGCGCCCAAGCTTTGTTGATCAATAGTAACTTCAATCACTCATCAAATTATCCAAGAGCAGTAAATTACTATTTGGACAGACAGGGAGTGAGAAGAAAAAAAAGACAAATGATGTGAAAATTCATCAAAGAAGCTATATACATGATGCAATACATAATTAGAACAAACAAAACAAGTTGAATCATAATATAGAAAATCATTGAGATTCTTTTCTGACAAGAAAAATAACTTATGCACTCTTTAAACAGAGAGGAATTCAAGCCTTGAGAAGGCCTGCATCATTATATCTCATATATTCACAAGCTTCAGAACAAGTTCTAGCAGGAAAAACTCGTACCCCTGAGAATTCTTTCTTTCAAAATAAAGCGTTAATGATGCCTTGGTGAAATCATGTATAGGCATGAAGTGTGTATCGGCTAGACAGCTATTTGCCTTTCTGTTTCAGTGCTGAACAAAGATATGAACTCCTCAAATGCCCCCGGTTCAATAATAGATAGTCTTCAAAAGAACTCAGAGAGTATGAAAGAGGGAATCGTGTACTTCAAATGATCTTCAACCGTTCAACCCACATGGCCAAGACACTCCATTTTCTTTTCATGCCAGAAACCAAAACATTCTCCTTTATGCCAATACTGAAGTATGGTTTCTCAGTTTTCTACATGTCACTCCATGTTTTTGGCCTATAGTTTCCATTTCATGCCATTGTTCCACGATGACCGAATTTTGCTTCTGTTTCATTGTTAAATCAGATATTTATATCCGTAAGAGGCAGTGCAAGAGTCTTCAAAACTCACCAGTAATCTCCACAAGAACAGGTTCCTCCGACAATGTGATGAAACCGGTTTTTATCTCTCAAAGACACTTCTCTTCCATAAATCTTTGAGACTAGTTTTGCAAAATTATGGCAATCGACACAAATTCGAAGGTTTTTTTATCACACGTACAGGCACTCCTTCAGGTGTAGCAATCAGCCCAAAAGCCAAAGCCATCTTTTCACTGTGGCCTAGGAGTACTTTTTCCTTCTGCTCCTCATCCACATCATATAAAACGCAACCCAAATCAGGAACATAACCAGCTTCCTTTAATTTGACTGACAATTCTTTCACCTTTGCAGACACCTCTTCCCTTCTTGGATGGGAGCGATCACTTGCATGAAAAGTATGAAGGATTTGGTCAAGCTCAATCCAACTTCTTCCAGGCTCCTTTATCACGGCCTTCTCTACCATCAATTCCCTTACATTTCTTACATCTTCCCATCTCCCCGCAGAAGCATATAAATTAGAAAGAATTACGTAATTCCCAGCATTTTCAGGTTCAATTTGTAAAAGCCGAAAACCCACAAATTCACCAATCTCAACATTTGAGTGAACCCTACAAGCACCTAAAAGTGAACCCCATATAGCAGCAGTTGGTTCAAAACGCATCTTTTTGATAAACTCAAATGCCTCTTCAACTCGACCAGCACGCCCGAGAAGATCAACAACACACCCATAGTGCTCAAGCTCTGGCTCAATACCATTTTCCCCTTCTGCCATCTCATAAAAATATTCTAGCCCTCTATCTTCCATTCCTCCGTGACTGCAACCAGATAAAACAGCCAAAAAAGTGACACTGTCTGGTCTGACTTTATTTTCTTCTTTCATTAGTTTGAAAAGCTTAACCACCTCTTTTCCCATTCCATGCTTACTATACCCTACAAGCATTGCATTCCATGATATAACAGTTCTCTCTGGCATGCTATCAAAGATCCTTCGTGAGTAACTTAGGTTTCCACATTTAGAGTACATATCAATCAGTGAGTTCTGAAGAACCACATATGAGGGCAGTTCACGACGAAGGACGTGGTTGTGAACTTGCCTGCCAAGGTCCAACGCAGCAAGCCCTGATAATGCTGTTAACACACTAGCATAAGTGACATAGTTTGAAGTCATTCCTTCCCTCTGCAACTGACGGAATAGCTCCAAAGCCTCTTCATCAAGGCCCAGCTGGGCATAGCCAGAGATTATAGCAGTACAAGAAACAACATCCCTCTCTGGCAAGCAGTCGAAAACTCCTCGGGCTTCATAGATTCTACCAGCTTTGGCATACATGTCGAGAAGTGAGCTTCCAACAAATATATGTGATTCAAACTTTGTTTTTATTATGAGAGAGTGGATTTGCCTTCCTAAGTCAAACCCCCACGCACCACCAGTACATGAAGTAAGTACTGTTGCAAAAGTGAACTCATTAGGCTCCGTACCTGCAAAGTTTACAGATAATTATCAACACAGGAAGACCCTGTTAAACAAAGAGAAAAAAGAAATCACCATGAACAAATTTTATTCTTTCTGAGGGACCATGACCAAAT